TGCCCCCCCTACCCTGCTGTTCTCCGTGTACTTTACTGTACCGTGCCCCCCCTACCCTGCTGTTCTCCGTGTACTTTACTGTACCGTGCCCCCCCATTTGCTTGTCACACTTGTCCTTACCCCGCCGTTCCTTCCATCCTGAGGCCACACTCAGTGAGAAAGTTTTTCTGGGGTCTCTCTACAGTAAATAGTGTTGCTTTGTAGTAACAAATGTGACAGTTGTGTTGCCTAGACCATTTTGCAGTTGGCAGCTGCCAGATGTGCTAGGAGAGTCACAAACTGAATTGGGGATAGATGATGTGGTTCAGGAGAAATGCAGGGCATGACTGTTTTCCAAATCCTCTGAAAGTGGAAGCCAATTAGAAGTGACCAAAAGCAGCATAATTCTGGAGTATAAACCATTATATAGGAAGTTACAGTGGTTGTTCTGGGAGGAAAAACTGTCTTTATCAGTGAAATTATTTCAAAAGAGTTTGTGGCCCATTTTCTGTTTACCTAGATGTTCCAGGTTTATTTGGCAAAGAGTGTGCAAGCTTTCAATATTAACTATGTTAGTGTTGGTATGCATATTCAAGTCCTACATGCTAATAATGGGATACTATATATTCATTTTTGCTAAAGTAGATAAATATTTTAACACTTTAAAATGATTTCTAATTTGGGATTTTCTTCCTACTCAGGGCTTATGTACGTAGTGAACATGGCATCTTCATACTTAGTTACAATATTTACTTCTTCTATTCAGCAAGTACTGCAGGTTTTAATGGAGTTCCTTAATCATTTAACAATCTTTCCTATTATGTTTTCATGATCAAGGTCTGTGAGTTGCTTGTAATTGACTATTTCTTGTATGTCTGATTTCCTTAATTAATGATTGTTAAAGGATAAAACTAATTTCTCTAATCTTTTGATGAGGAATAAGATAAGTAGTGTCTCTGAGAAAAGAGCACCATCTATTGAGAAGAAGGCTAACAACAGAAGGGAAAGTGCAGGAAGGAAATCAATGGAAGAATTTATTTTTGAAAACATTTACCATGTATAATCTAATACAAAGACTCATATCAAAGATAAAAACTGAGTCTCACTTACAGTTATAATAAAAATCATAATTAAAGTTCTGCCTTATGAAGAGAAAATATGTTTCTCATTCGTCCTAAGAAAATTCATAGAATCATAAGCTGATAGGGCTAGAAGGGAAACTAGAGCTTACCTACGCCAGATGAGTAAACTGAGGCACAGAAAATATCAATGATTTCTTCAAGGAGAAATAGTTCTTTAGTTCAATAACACTGTATTAGTTCAATATAATATCTATCTTAGCCAATATAATTTTCTTATTAGAGTGGCAAATCATGATTTAATTCAACTAAAATATTGACAGAGTAGATTCAATTAACTGTAATAATGTGGAAATAATAAAGTACCCCAAATTTATGTCTGGAATCCTGGAGAATAAAGGATGAAGAGAAATTACCAAAGTGTCTAGAAATCCTGCTGTCTGAAACATAATCCTTTATTCCCTTTTATTGCTTCTCTTGGTATTGTCCTTCCTTATTTTTCTCCCCTCTAGCTTATGCTTTTCTATAAAGAGGGAGCCAATAAAGCAGCAACTGGCTGTGAAATAAGATTGGTCTTATTTCAGTGTTTAAGAGATTGCTGGTTGATTGAGTTTGTTTTAAAGTCATTACTTCTGACCTCTTGATGACTTGGAGAAGGATAGTGACATTGCATCTTAGTGAGAACATGATATTATGCTCTATTTCTCTGTACTGAAAGTTCGAACAAAATGCAGTATGATTTGAAAGGTCACCCCAAACATCCATCTATGACAGGTTGGGTGTTTAATTCCATAGTCAGGTAACCCTCTGAGAATATGACTGCAAAACAGAAAAATGGACAGTTTAGTGACCAATGAAGTAATGAAGAAAGCATTTGGGGATTGAAGAAAATATGTTTATTTAGCTTAGAATATTTAACTGGACTATCTCCAGGCTGCGGTGTTTTCACTACAAAATGATAGTTCAGAGATATTATTGCCTCTGTTAAAAAGATGACTATAATGCTACGTCTATTAAATTATTGAGGTGAAATGCTCACTTCCTGCTATTATTTAAAATTCAGCAAATACTTTTGAATGGTCAAGTGCCGTTAATGGTCAAGTTAGTCTTCTATCCAGATTAAGGTGATATTTATTAGAACGTTTTAATACATCAAATGAATTATGAGTCTCAGATGACTATAGCAACCAAACCAACAACAAAAGTAAGTGGTAATACAGATGCCATGATTAATACTTTTCTGCTCTGTGTCTCAACTCCATCATGATTGTACCTTCATCAACAACATTATTAAATAGTATAACTTAAGAAGGATTCTTACACAGTGCTGTTCTAAGGAACATAAGGGAGGAAAAGAGACACCATCATATGATCCAAAGATTTAAAATCCAGATGTTAAATGATAAAAATGTTATAACTATTTGCCACATGAAAACTTTTTCAGTTTTAAAGAAAATAATATTTGCAAGATAATAATATTATAAAAATTATCACAGATTCTAAAGAATATGGAGATAAAATATTATAAAATGTAGCAATTATTTAAAATGGGATGATACTTTACTATTGTCAAGAATGTTTTCTAGGGGCACTTGACTGGCTTAGTCCATAGAGCACACAACTCTTAATCTTGGGGTTGTGAGTTCAAGCCCCATGTTAAATGTGGAGATTACTTAAAAATCAAAACTTTAAAAGAAAAAGAATGTGTTTTTTCTTTTAAATTAACCAAAATAGTACACAAAGTTATAGCCACCAGGAATGTTTCACTTTCTGAGAACACTTGACCCAAGTATAGAATTAACCATAAATATAAAAACTGATATTGCCCCACATATATTTATTTTGTGAGATTTTGTTCCAAAGATTTGTCCATATAGTCATGAATATGGCCTTTGCACACACCATTTAAAAAAGTAGAGGGTTGGAAACCGTTAGATCTTTATGAACTGTGAAAACCATCCTTCCAATAAATTACCAATGAAGAGTGCCAAATGATACTGCCTTCATTTTTCAGATTATTTCTTAATTTGACTAGATGGATTCTCAATGTGACTAGTTCTCAGAGCAGAGCATTTAAATATATGCAAGATTTTATTGTCTTTTTCTTTCACTAAAAAGTATTTCTCATTTTAAAACACTTGTTCTATATACTAAATATTTGATTTAGGTTTAAGCTACAAAGTGATCAGTCATGCATGATTGGAACAGAACTACAAGCTTTTTTACTTCATATGTAAGTTGCTGGGAAAATAAGGAATAACAATATTTTATCTAAGGTTATATATATTGTGTATATATATATATATATATATATATATATATATAGACATCTATCTACAAATACATATATACATATGAATTAATTTCAATGCATATGTCCCTGAATATGATCACTAGTGATTTTTATAAAATAAAAAAGAAAGTTGTTTATTTAGAAAGCTCATATACAAATAAAGCTCACTTTCCTTTTTTTAAACTATAAAATATCCTAGTTAGAAGACGGATTTAAAGGGAAAAAAAAATCCTGCTAAATAAAATCTGTCCTTGACATAATGGTTTACAAGAAAACCTAAGAATTTAATTGTATTCCTTTCACTTCACAATGAAGAGCTTCTAGTATCATCTATTACAATTTCAACTTTAACTGCTATGTCCCATACAGGTGCTAATTCTGTCAGAACAGTCTTCTTCAGTGTGCCCCAGAAAATAAAAGTTGCTTTTCATTTCCTCAATTGTAAGCTGTGTCTGTCATTCACATAGTGTTATCACTGAGTTTCTTTTCCTTCTCTCCTTTCTTTCTTGAAAGAATGAGCTATCTTATATTTTATCAAATATTTCCAACATAAAGGAATGTATAGAGAGTAATAGAAGATTCTTCACCTTTAAAAATTATATATAATTATACAGCACCTGTGTGGCTCAGCCTTTAAGCATCTGCCTTCCGCTCAGGTCATAATCCCAGCGTCCTGGGATCAAGCCCTGTATCGGGCTCCCTGCTACGTGGGAAGCCTGCTTCTCCCTCTCGCACTCCCCCTGCTTGTGTTCCCTCTCTCGCTGTGTTTCTCTCTCTGCCATAAATAAATAAAATCTTTAAAAAAAATAAAAAATAAAAATAAAAATTATATATAATTATAATTATATATACTTCTAGTAATATATATTATATATTATACATAATAATATCCATTATTTATATCATTATATAACATATAATTATATATAATTATATGTTATATAATACATAATTATATATATACAAAATAATGTGTAATTTATAAATTATATTACATATATAAAATATATATATAAGAAGTTTCCTCTCATCTCCTATTATACTGTCTC